AAAAAAAAATCTATTTTTCTCTCAAAGTCTAAATGAAGGAAAAAAATTAAAATTGAAGTATTTTAGGGGTTTCAGAGGTTTAGCTTCAAAACGCAGCCAAACACTCAGACTTGATTTTTGAATTCAAGATTTTTTGGTTGGTCGACAGTTTATTTTCAGAAGAATTGAAGTTTTGAGAAAAAAAATAAAAAAGTTTTTGTTTCATCCAATTTTAGGGAAAAACTTAGGTTTTTTAAAATCTTTTTCATCTTTTTTTTTGTTTTCTTAGGCTCTCTCAAATTTAAAAAACAAACTTTTTCATTTTTTTTTGTCAAAGGCAGGACCCTAGTTTTGGAAAGATTATCGTACCAGATTGAGCAAACACTCGAAAACTTTGCTGAAACAATAAAATATCAGTATTTGAAAGCCAAAAAAAGCTAAAAAAAAGGTGGGGTTTTTATTGTTTCAATTATTCAGGAGTATTTGATTGGCTAATAACCTGACGCATTCAGGCACCTTGTCATGAGAATACCCATTAGTTTGAACAACAACCGACGGGAATTCAAGCCGAAGGGACTTCAAGCCGAACTTTAAATATTACAAGCACCTGAAAACGCTGATATTTTGTCAATAAAAGGTTCTTTTTGAAAAAATTAGGCAAGTTTAATTCATCATAAGCGTTCTTCATAACAATGCAGCATTTAACAAATGCATCAGATAACTAGATCAGCCGAATTTTGAAATGCATAATCCTACACATGAAAAACAATTTAACATTGTTTATATTTTTAATACTCCTAAATGTAAATTAGAAGCTCAAAAGTTATGAAAAAGCCGAAAAGTTGTAGCGAAAGCTCATAAAAATGAAAAGTTCTTCAAAACAGTTTTCAAATCAATCAAATTTCATAACTTTTTGACAAAATGCTCTGCTTGAAGTCTGAATTTTTTATGCATGGTACCCGTTTTGTGCAATTTTATTCATAAGTAGTCGTTTTACTTTTTTATTTTGAATTGAGAATGGAAAAATTGTTGGGAGAAAAAGTAGTAAAAATGGCCTCAATGACTTTCTAAATCAAACTCATCGCACATAACTGTTTATAATAAGATTATATCTTTTATATGATTTACGATATAATTCAAAAGAAATAAAAAGATATAAAATATGATATAGTAAAAATCTGGCTGAAATTGTTTGATTTTAGCTTCAGTTTTTCTCTATGTATGATAGCACCAACCATTAAAACTGGAATTACATGCAGTGACATTTGCAAAAGGTGAAAATGACATTTCAAAAGCATCAAAAGCATCAAATTTTGTTGATTCGTAACCTTATAAATCTTTCAATTTTTGACAAAATTTTATGTAAACTGTGATCTGATAAGGAAAGAAGTTGGCATTAATTTTTTTTGGTTTCATCTGAAAAGAGAGCACTAGTTGCTTTTGAGGATTATTGATGATAGTAAGCTTTCACTAGCTGCTTTGACGAGAAAGCGATGCTAAATTTCAAATACGACTACTAAATTCCAATTAAATGTTTGTATAATATTAATTACAAGTATCAGAAGCTTCACGGATGCTTTTTTTGAAAATGTTTTTTTTCTGTTCGTTTCTCTTTTTCACTACTAAATTACAAATAAATTTTTTTGTATAATATTAATTACAACTATCAGAAGTTCCACGGATGCTTTTTTGCTAATGTTTTTTTTGTTTATGTATCCTTTTTCACTGAAAAAGTAGCATTTGGTTCAAAAACTTTTTGGTAAAAATCAAAAATGAAAAAAAATTTTGTCAAAAATAATTTAATAAAATCATAATGTTTTTTTTCTACAGGAACTATGCAACCATTAATTTTAAATTTGAAAAAAATTAGTCGGTATCATGGCCCAAACTAAGATTTTTTTGGTTCATAATAATGTTTTATTTCATCACAGATTGAAATTTTAGAAACCTTTTCATTGTCAAATGATTGGCTAAATATCGGCTACCTTTGAATTTGAAGACACAATGTGCAGAAGTTAACACCCACCGCTTGTCAATCAGAGTTGAACCACAATGTCCAAAAATGCCATCAATTTTGACCAGGGCGAAGAATGTTCTAGAACTTTTCGGACTCGGAATTCCGTTGATCATTTGAGATATGTATTTAAGGTGTGTTGCATCATTCGTTCTATTTGGAACCTGATTTGAGCTGGTCCCTTTGCTGTGAGTAATTCAGTAATACATGCTTCTTCAATTGTTTATTTTTTACATATAGATTTTGCGGAGCAAAAAAATGATAATTGATTAACCAGTTTTAACCAAAATATTTGATTTTAAAGCAACACTGCTTATACATTAAAGCGAAACCCTGATTTTCTTCTATTTCACATCAAGACTTCATTGAGAAATTTGGTTAAAAACTGACGTTATAATCGAAAACTAAGAAACAAATACTTTTTTCTTCAAAACATCCCACCATTGACGCTTATGTAAACTGCAAACGGATTTTAGCTTCTCGTTGCCTGAAATTAAGATCAAATAACATGCCTGAATTTAAGTCGAAACACAACAATCCGCTTCAGATTTGAGCTTCAATCATTAAATTTTTTAAAAATTTTATTTGAACAATTTCCCATCAAAAAGATTTAGCTGAAAAATGGAAAAACGACTGACAAAAAACCTCACCTCTTTGAATGAAAAGATATTATCAGTTACAAATTTTTTTTAGATCTTTCTATCAATGGGTTAAGTTTGGTAGCAGATTTAAATAAAGTTTTTGTTGCGGGATGAACACGGGTTGAGTAACGGTTAAAAAATATACTTTTTGGGTTTTTTTATCAGGCTTGTTTTCGAATGTATTACTCGTCCAATTCTTTGTCGATTGCAATCGCATAACATGATGAAATTAAAAGGGAAATTGTAAAAATTAACATCCTAAAAATGAGCTTGACTGGTTTGTATTTGAGAAGAAATAATTGCGTACTAAAAGAGTTAGAATGTTATTTGATCTTATGATGTGCTAACCTTGGCAGCTTCGAGGTAAGTTTAACCTGGTTGAACTGCCAGGCAAATTATTCATTAAGCAAAACAATTTCACTGAATTGGGTCCAATTATAATTTGTTTGTGAGTTGGTAAGCTTTTTGTCAAAGTGATATCAACAAAACCTTGAACCTAAAAATTCCGGTGGTATTAGTTCTAACTCCTTAAGAACTTTTCATTTGACTAGTCAAATGTTTGTTAAGATTAAAATAAAAAGCTAAAAAGATCGCTCAACTTAACTTATGCAGAATCACTCTCATCTTGTAATACAATTTTAGCGCAAGGTATACTGCAGGATTATAATCAAGTAAGGCCCTTGAAAGGTTCAAAAGCAACAATGAAAAGTTATCAGCATCTGCTACGTATGATACAATGTCCGAGCTCTAGAAATAAAACATATTGTAGAAATAAAAATGAAATCAACAGAATTCTTATTTTTCTTATCATCAGACTTATTTTTATTTAGTGATTTTTTTTTTCATAGGATAACAAAACACACGTGAAAAGAAACAATTCAAAGACTCAAATTCTAGAAAAAAATGAAAATCTTGATGCAATATAGAGAACAAAAAATCAATCAGCACCACTCGTTTTCCATATGCACTCTGTTAAACCGCCAGAAAACAAACTCTAGCTCTAATCATTGACCAAGCTGTCATCAAGCTAATTTCGTCTGCAGCTGCGTTTTCAATTGGAATTGATTAGGACAAAAAATGGTTTAAGAATTGGAATTCTATGCAGCAAAAATTTGGTAAAAAGGACAAAAACGTGTTTTATTTTCCACCTGTATAATATCAATAAGGTCAAAAATCAGTGATAAAAAATTTTCACCCGCCCATATTTATTTAAAAACAAACTTACTCGTGCTTGATCTTTCCGCTAATTTTTTTTGATATAGTGGTCTTGCTACCTACGAAAAAACCAACACAGCAAGTCGAAGCTACCAAGCTATCAATGGATACAATAACTTCAAGAACTGTAACGACAAAAACAATCAGCTGCTACGAGTAAGCTATGCCGAACGAAAAGATGACTACGAAAAGCCACCACAAACCTCATTTTGAACTAGAATATAGCTAAATCAGAGACAGAGACGAAGAACTTTCTCAGCATGTTAGAAAATGGCCGCCCAACTGAAGATGCCAAGGCGCAAGAGTTCATCAACCGCTTCAAAAAAATAGATGGACCATGAATGACTTGAGACAGATAAACAATGAAAAAAAAAACAAAAGCGTCAACTCCACAACATCAAAAGCTGATGTCACTACAACTCAACTCTCAAAAAAATTTAATTTGAACTACGATCAGCCAAAATTACTCAACAGCAGAAACGTCAATTCAAAATGCTTATATTGCGACATAAGTTTCGAAGATAAGGCCTCCCATGGTTACCATTAGTTCAATTTTTTTCTCCCACTTGATGTTTTTTCAATAAATCAAAAGCAGAATCTTGAAAACCGCAATCCTCTGTCATCAAATACAGTTGAAAACAACAACAGCTTTCATGTTAAGTATCAAATTAAATTCATCCAATTTACACCTGACGTCACAGTATTTTACGGCCAACTTTCGTGAAAATTAAGCATTGGGTTGTCGAGTCTTCAAAGTGGCAGTTATATGCATGCCTTGGTGAACTTGATCTACACTCAAATTTGCAGTAGTGTTTTAGAGATTCAACGTCAACATATTCTTTGGAACTGAAGAAAGTTGAATATCCTTTCATATAGCAAATTTTCTGATTGTCCTTACAATCTGTACAGAATTAACTGCCATTCGAAAGTTTTTTTATTGGCCATGAGTTTAATCGTTTACTGGTTCAAAACAATTTTTACCAAAGAAGAGCAAAATAAATAGCCAACTATTGCAAAGAAAAAAAACTTTGCTTTAAAAACTCGAGAGACATCATCTATGTTCCTAACAGAAACTCGCATCCACGCAAAACATTGGATTAATTTCACTAGAACGAAGTCGTAAGGTGCGAATACATCCGAAACAGAGAAAATTTAAACATTTTTGGGTGTTTTGACGCATTTGTGTATCGAGAAAGGTATATAAAAGTGTTTGATTTTTTTAGCATATATTTTTTTGATTAACTTCAAAATTTTCTGAAACACAAAACTCTTTCCTTGTAAGGTGTAATTCTGACTTAATTTTTAAACCTTTGATACTCATCACTTAAAGCAAATTCTTTGATTGGGTAACTAAACCTAACAGGATCTTTACTCATTTCGAGAGCTTTTTTGTACAAAATCAACAAAAATGTTTCTTCAAAACTAAAAATGAAACTATTTTCAAAATCAATCAGTTCTGATTGAATTTTGTGAAGTATCATTGGGTACTTTTTTTTACAAACAGCAAATAGAAAAAATTTCATTCTAATTTTTAAGGCATAAACCTTCAATTTTCTTCATTATATAACAACTCGAAGGAAAAAGTCATTTTTTCTCCCAAAAATTCAAAGCAAAACTTAAATTCCGAATAAAATATCTGAGAGAGTCCAAATATGTTGTTTTCATAATCAACTAGTATAGTTTTCATAGTTTTGGTATATGACAAATCTCTCATTGTTCCTCAGATACCGTCACTGAATAAATAAAGAAGGGGCAAAATGTGATGACTCTGGTACGGAGTACAGACTAGTTGATGCCGCTCGTCAGTTAAAAAGTTGCATGGCAGGCAATATTTCTAATCATGATTTTTTTTGTTTTTACAATCTGCAATAAATGTACCATTATGTGGCTAAAAATCATGTTTTATCTGGTTTCAAGCAATTATTAACAAGTTCGCTTACCAAAAGAATTTTTCTGAGTGGTTTTCCTTTCCATCAACATCGGAGAAAAGATAAGGGAGAGAAATAACGGAAACCAATCGATGCTGGACGACTTAAGCAAAAATGATGATTATGGAGTTATACAAAAGGGCAAGTTGACAGTGTGTTTTAAATTTTATACCACATTTAAATTATATATTAAACTACAAAATTTTCAAATAGAAGCTTGCAGAAGTCTTCAAAAAGCTCAGGTCTGCTGCAAAAGTTAGTCTTATTTTGGGATTTATTCTCCGAAAAGTGAAAACCGATGAAATAACATTTTACTAGGCCCATTAGAACAATAATCTGTTTGTGAAGTTGAATTTGCTGTGTACAAAAGCTGGTTGAAAACGGTTGAGTGAAAGAAGGGAAATTTGACATATTGTAGGGCAATGTACCTAAGAAAAACACAACACAAAGTTCCAACTTTATAACGAATGTTACTATTTGGGCTGCAATAATGGGATGTCCAGGATCTGTTCTGTGAAACCCGAGCGTCTACTACATCTTGGTGTCTTTTATCGAATAAAAATAAGCAACCACATAAAGAGCACCTTTTTTCATGAAATAACATTGTACAAGCACGTTCATAGTAATCTGGAAAATCAATTACTGATTTTAGTTGTTCACAGAGTTCATATCGAAATCAGGTTACGATCCCAAAAAGTTTTGTTAAGTCGCTATCGATAGCTTACATCTTGTCGAGGTATTGGCTGTTAAATACGACGTATAAATACGATTTTGAAATTGAAGACGAATAGTAGAAGAAAGAAAGAAATTTGATTTAATTTTCAGAATGCATCAATTTTATTAATCAAACAATTGATTTTGGTCCTTTCTTCAATTGCTTTCAGTTTTCCAAATGTGACTGTTTCTTCAAGAAATTTGACGTAATCATCAAGCATCTAATTGGAAGTAACGACCGAGTGTGACATATCTATCCCAAAAACAAGTTGTAAGTGCGCACTACAACAAACAGTTTTCGAGAGGCTGGATTGATTCAAAACTCCCTACACATGGGATCAGAAGTTATTTAGCAAGGTCGATTTTTTTGAATTAAAATCAATTTGCTGAGAAAGTCGAAATATAAGTCGAGAGAGTCGAAACAGATGACGAGAAAGTCAAAATATACCCAATTTAAATAAAGTTGTATGACTGTAGAGCCCTCAAATCTTAAACTTGCAATTCCGGCTGTTTGGTATTCGAACTAATACCCGTGAGCACACTCACAGGGGTTACCAATAAAGAATTTTTTTTTAAAGTTTGTTCAACGAAAAAAAGATATCAATGCATCTCTGTTTT